AGACTGATATGGAGGACTGTAGGGGAACCGAGGTTAGCTTATTGCACAGGGACATCACCTCTTTCCAGAAGTCCATTATCATCGGGCAGTGCCAGAACACACAAGCGAAATCACCCGGGACATCTCCACAGTGCAAGCACTCCGGAGAGTGGAAGGGATTCATCTTATGAAGTCTATAAGGAGTGTAATATGCCTGGTGTACTAATTTAAACTGAATCAATTGGTCTCTTACAGAAACCAAAGTTCAGAAGGGAAGGTCCCAGATGTCATCCCAATCATCATTAACCATTTCTGGCACATCCCTCGACCATCTGTCCCGCAAGCCCTCCAGAGCAGGTAGAGAGACACTGAAGAGATGGGAATATATATGGGAGGTAGGTTTCACAGCTCAATCAGATTGGAGTACTTCCTACAGAGCTGATTTGTTGAGCACAGGGGTAGATTTAGGGAACTAAGCACGGAAGGCATGGGAGAGTTGCAGGTATCAAAATAGGTGGGATGCAGGGACATTATACTGTAGGTGGAAGAAAGGACAGACAGAGGAGATAGTATACAACCGGTAACAATTTATAGTCTTAATATCAAATTTAGTCCAGGCATGCGGTTCAGGTAGCATAAAGATGGGGTAGGGAGAGATTGAGCCACAATGGAGCATTGGGGGACAAGGCTAATTTGAGGTAATGTTCGCATATTAGGCCCGCTCACCAGGCTCACAGGGTGGTAACCATGGAAAGCATCAAATGAGTAAGGGGCATGAGGCCCTCTATATAGAAGGAACTTGAGAGCCTCCAGGAAATGCACCACCGCGGCCTCGAGAACAATAGAGGGATTATACTACAATATTGAGTTCAGGGTTTAGCCACCAGGCAGTTGTAACCAGTTGGGTGGCCAAGAAGTATTTGCTACAGTCTGGGAAGGTTAGGCCACCTTGAGCAGAGGGTCGCATAAGGGTAGAGAGTTTGTGTCCCAAAGTGTGGGGGCCCCATATGAAGGAGGAGAAAAGTTTATTTAAGTCGGGCGAAAAAAGGACATGGGACACCATTGGGGAGAATATCTAAATAAGTAATTGAGTTTTGGGAGGAGTTTCATTTTGATAAGGCTGATGCACCTAAAGAGAGGTAGAGGAAGGGACTCCCATGCCTTCAGCTTCAGTTTGAGGTCTTGCACTACAAGAGTAAGATTTAAGGGGGAAAAGTCTGAGGCCAAATGAGAGATGATGACTCCTAGGTATTTGAATCTCTTGACCCATTGTAATTAAACATTTGGAGAGGCTGTGTTTGGAGCCTAAGGGTCAATGAGGAACAGCAGGGAACTTGCCCAATTGAGCCTAAGACTAGTGACAGGGGCAAAGGAGTGTAGAATCTGGAGTGACGGTCCATCATTTAAGAACAAGAGGAGGTTGTCCACGTACAGGGCTACCCTCTCCTCTAGCCAGCCAATACGAAGTCCCTTGATAATTGAGGAGGTGCAGAGAGCCTCAGCTATGGGCTCCACGGCTATGGTGAAAAGTGCTGGGGAGAGAGGGCAGCCCTGCCAAGTACCTCTGGATAAAGAGAATGGAGCCAATAGGTCGCCATTCAAGCGGACAGCAGCTGTGGGGTTGGCATAGAGTATCTTAAGCCATCCAATGATTAGTACCTTCCACAGAAGTGGCCATTCAAATCGTATCAAAGGTCTTTTCAAGATCTAGGGAGGCCATCACCCTGGAGCTCATGTTGATATGAGAGGCATAAATGTTGATGTACAATCTACGTATATTAATGTCCATGGCTCAGTGGGCCATAAACCCAGTTTGGTCCGGCTCGACAACTGTAAGCAAGATCAGTTCTAACCTCAGGGTAAGAAGTTTGGTTAGGATTTTGAAGTTATTAAGCAGAGAAATGGGTCTATCGGAGAAACAGAAGGTAGGATCCTCTACAGGATTCATAGATCAACACCACATGGGCATGGTTCATAGCAGCCTGCCAGATGATAAACTTTGTGAGTAGAAGGAGGCCAGAAGCGCGGCAAGTAGTTCACTATGGCCCTTAAAAAATTCAATGGGGAAGCCATCAGGGCCAGTGGCCTTCCCTGCAAGGAAGGAGTGAATTGCGGTAGTAACCTCCTCAGGAGTAATGGGTCTCACCAACGTCTGCCGTTCTGCATCCAAAAGCCACCCTAATGCGAATTGGTCCAACAGCGTTGACAAGTCATGGGCCCGAAAGTCCGGGGGTAGCATGGAGGCATATAGGGTATTGTAAAACTGACGAAAGGTTTCTAGAATGTCCGACAGGGAGGAAACCACCTCCCCTGAGGAGGTTTGGATCTGGGGAATTAAAGCGGAGTTCCACTCTGTAAAAAAATAAAATTCAGCAGCTGCAAAAACTGTAGCTGCTGACTTTTAAAAAAACAGCCACTCACCTGTTCCACGATCCTGCGTTGCCTCCGCCGCAGCCCGTTTCACCGGCCGTCCTGTATTCCAGGCACGGGCATCTTCAGTGTGGGCATCCGGCTGTGACAGCTTGCAGCTTCACAGCCGGGTGCCCACTGCGCATGCGTGAGTAGCACTGCACTTCCTGAATGGCCCCGTCGTCTTCTGGGACCTGACATGTGTCCCACAAGAGTTTGGGGAGGGACGGTAGGAGGACAATTTCCGTTTCCAATCCCCTAGGCGATCGTAGCGGAAGTGGGGAGCGAGGGACCAATTTTTAAAGCAGAACTTCCCCTTTTGGGTGGAACTCCGCTTGAAGATGAGCGGCTGATCGTGTTGAGCCAGCATCGCTAGAAGCCATCCATTACCAAGCCTTGTTCAAAGAACCACTGTTTGCTTTTGAGGAGATCCAATCTAGTAATCTCCATTAAGTGGAGGTGAAATTCTCTCTTGTCCCTCAGGACAATGTGGGGTGATTCTCTCCAGAAGTGTGAACAACAGTGCGGGGTAGAAGGACAGTGAAATATAGATCGTGGCAACCACAATAGATCTTTGATCCCATAACATAAAGACCACTAAAACATATCTACCCTGCATGTCAAATGGATGGTCTTGACCACGCAGGGGAGGGATTTCCATCTTGGCCAGGGATAATAGTGAACCAAAACATGTAAAACAAAAAACAAAGACCCAACGTGCACCGAAGTGCATACCCTGCCCTCACACTGCATCTTCCCTATAAACTGGGAAGGGCAGATGGGGCCTATATCCTAAACAATAACAAGTAAAGGCAATAGTATAATACTATGTCCAAATGTCATAGGAAACCCCCCCCCATGCTCAGAGGCACATTAAGGCAGGAAGTCAAATGTGTGCATGAGGGGTAAGGGGAAGTGCAGGGAGAAAATACTGGTCCCTCGGGTGCAAAAAGCAATTGTGGAGGGAGGGTAACAATTATGGAGAGGACTGCAATAACTTGCTGGATGTGGACTGGAGCTCCAGGTTGAAGCAGGATGGTATCAGTACTCAAAGGAAGGTAGGGAGAGGGATCCTCAATCACCAATAGGGCTAACATGTATAGAGAGAAGGGGGGTCCCTCACCAACTGCTATCAGTCAAGGGAGGTAGAAATGAGGGAAGGGAAAAGGCACTTGTCTGGTATCAGTGGAGCCGAAGTGGCAGTGTCAGGGCTCCGGGTATGACCAGAGGTGTGTGGACTGACACAGGGAAATGCAGGCTTCAGGTATAGTGTAAATAAGACAATTTATTGAAGACTAAACAACACAAAATGCAGTGCAAGGTAAACATAACACAGTGCAAACAACCCACACCCAACAGATAACCATATATACAATCAAACGTAGTCGGGCAGGCCGGGTCGGTAGCAAACGGGCAAACAGGGTACCAGGTGCGAGCGGAAGAGTGGTCAGGAATAGCCGAGGTCAGGACAGGCGGAGTTTGTTCAGAGTCAGGATCAAGGCAGAGTCAGGATCAGGCAGGAAGCAGACGGGATGCAGGTACAGGGGCTCATGGGAAACATACACCAAGGCACTGACTGCAGGTCTGGCCATTCCTTAAAAACACCTCCTGCAATCAGCCTCAGTGAGCTTCTGGTTGCTGAGAGCACCCGCTGGCCAGCCCTGGTACTGCAGCCCACACGGCAGATGAGTCCCACCACTAATGGTGAGTCCATTTCTGACAGTACCCCCCCCCCCTCAAGGAGCGGCCTCAGGACACTCCAAACAGTCCTTAGTGGGCAAAATGTTCCACTGCCCGGGTCAGGTAACTGGCTGGATATCCTACTGATGGAGTCAACCGGCTGGCTGGGTTTCCTGCTGGTAAACTTCTCCTTGTGTAGGAGAACCCAGGAAGGCAGGTTACTGGACACAGGATCTCCCGGAGCAGGCTGGGAATCAGTTATTGGCCAGTTTAGCTGGACATCAGGGGCTGGCACATCAGGCTGGGCAGCGAGCGGAGGCACATCAGGCTGGGCAGCGGACAGAGGCACATCAGGCTGGGCAGCGGACAGAGGCACATCAGGCTGGGCAGCGGACAGAGGCACATCAGGCTGGGCAGGGACAGGGCAGCGGGCAGCGGACAGAGGCACATCAGGCTGGGCAGCGGACAGAGGCACATCAGGCTGGGCAGCGGACAGAGGCACATCAGGCTGGGCAGCGGACAGAGGCACATCAGGCTGGGCAGCGGACAGAGGCACATCAGGCTGGGCAGCGGGCTGGGCAGCGGACAGGCACATCAGGCTGGGCAGCGGACAGAGGCACATCAGGCTGGGCAGCGGACAGAGGCACATCTGGGCAGCGCACAGAGGCACATCAGCTGGGCAGCGACAGAGGCACATCAGGCTGGGCAGCGGACAGAGGCACATCAGGCTGGGCAGCGGACAGAGGCACATCAGGCTGGGCAGCGGACAGAGGCACATCAGGCTGGGCAGCGGACAGAGGCACATCAGGCTGGGCAGCGGACAGAGGCACATCAGGCAGGCGGACAGAGGGCAGCGGGCAGCGGACAGAGGCACATCAGGCTGGGCAGCGGACAGAGGCACATCAGGCTGGGCAGCGGACAGACAGAGCACATCAGGCTGGGCAGCGGACAGAGGCACATCAGGCTGGGCAGCGGACAGAGGCACCGGGCAATCAGGCGAAGCAGCAGGCCCTAGCCCATCAGGCGAGGCAGCAGCACCGGGCCATCTAGCAGAAGAGCGGGCACCGAGTCACCTGGCACGACAGCGGGCACCGAGTCACCAGGCTCGACAGCGGGCACAGAGTCATCTGGCACGACAGCGGGCACAGAGTCACCAAGCTCGACAGCGGGCACCGAGTCATCTGGCTCGACAGCGGGCACCGAGTCATCTGGCTCGACAGCGGGCACCGAGTCATCTGGCTCGACAGCGGGCACCGAGTCACCAAGCTCGACAGCGGGCACAGAGTCATCTGGCACGACAGCGGGCACCGAGTCATCAAGCTGGATCGGGTCATCAGGCTGGATCACGAACAACGGGTCATCAGGCTGGATCACGAACGGGTCATCAGGCTGGATCGGGTCATCAGGCCGGATCATCAGGCCGGATCGGGTCATCAGGCCGGATCGGGTCATCAGGCCGGATCGGGTCATCAGGCTGGATCACGAACACCGGGTCATCAGGCCGGATCGGGTCATCAGGCCGGATCGGGTCATCAGGCTGGATCACGAACACCGGGTCATCAGGCCGGATCGGGTCATCAGGCCGGATCGGGTCATCAGGATGAACAACGGAAGGCGGGTTCTCAGACAGCAGGCTGACCGGTTTGGATACTGGTAGGATGGTACTGGTTGGAAAGAATTTTCGCTTCTTCTTGGGTTTAGTTACTGGGGCACTGCAAGTAAATGCAGGTCTGTAAATGGATGGAGTAGCTGGGGACAGAGAAGAGCTGAAGGGTGGAACAGAGGAGGGAATAGTTGTTACAGCGGCCTTTTTCACAGGGTTAAAGGCAGGATAGGTGCAGCGAGTGGGAACACGGTACTGACATGTGGTAGATAGCAGGGTATATTGGGCTGTAACTGGGGGTGCTGTCGGGAATGCAGGAATAGAGCTTTGAGCAGAGGAATGATTAGAAGCAGGACGGGTTTGTTGCAAGCTGCCTGAGGCTGGGTGTAACAAGTCTGACCAGGACAGTAGTATTGGTTGAACAAAACTCAGCTTACACAAAGCCTGTCTGACCAAAGACTGCACTGCGTTTATACACTCCACTAGCACATGTGGTGAACATGCTGAATAATGTTCACAGAAGCAATCCGGATCATCCTCCAACAACCATACCAGTGATTCTATTTGATCCACACTGAATGGTGGAAGAAAGTCATCCCTGTTTTCAGGGGTACTAGATGAAGCCAACTCAACACAAGCCTGAATCAATGGTTGCACCTCAGAGAACTCCGTGCCGTGATCTACTAGGGAATGAGCGACCCGTATGCACTCTAGCAGCTGATCCCTGGTATACTCCTGCAAAGTCTGATAGGCATATTCTCTGTCATCTAAGACTAGCAAATACAAGTATACCACCTCCTCAGGATGCATCCTTCACAACAACAAGCCAAGATGGCTTCCCTGTGCAGCCACTTCTGGTCAGGAATGGCCTTGGTGTAATGTCAGGGCTCCGGGTATGACCAGAGGTGTGTGGACTGACACAGGGAAATGCAGGCTTCAGGTATAGTGTAAATAAGACAATTTATTGAAGACTAAACAACACAAACGCAGTGCAAGGTAAACATAACACAGTGCAAACAACCCACACCCAACAGATAACCATATATACAATCAAACGTAGTCGGGCAGGCCGGGTCGGTAGCAAACGGGCAAACAGGGTAACAGGAGCGAGCGGAAGAGTGGTCAAGAATAGCCGAGGTCAGGACAGGCGTAGTTTGTTCAGAGTCAGGATCAAGGCAGAGTCAGGATCAGGCAGGAAGCAGACAGGATGCAAGTACAGGGGCTCATGGGAAACATACACCAAGGCACTGACTGCAGGTCTGGCCATTCCTTAAAAACACACCTGCAATCAGCCTCAGGTGATGGCTGATTGCAGGAGTGAGCTTCTGGTTGCTGAGAGCACCCGCTGGCCAGCCCTGGTACTGCAGCTCACACGGCAGATGAGTCCCACCACTAATGGTGAGTCCATTCCTGACAGGCAAGCAGTAACCAGTGGTGGAAGGTGAAGTTACCAGTCCTAGCAAGCTTCAAACTAATTGGAGGTAGCTTCAGATGTATCAAAGAAGTGGGCCCAATCCCCATCGGAGATACTCAACTTGCTAGGGTACAGAAGACTAAAGTGAATGCCTTTTTGCCAGAGTCGCCTGCGAATTTTCGTGAAGGATTTGCAGCGTCGTTGGTCCTCCTGGGAGTAGTCTGATAAGAACAGCAGCTTTGCATTCTCAGAGTGCAGGGCGCACCCTTGTGGAGGAGGTGTCAGTGGGACCCTGTGAGCACGTTCCACAGCGAACGTAGGCGGCATATTGGTTAGGCCAAATATAGGTGTCATTAGTTGTTCGGCAAAATCAGCCAGTTTGTTTCCCTTTGGCCTGCTTGGGAAGGACCAGGATGCATATATTGTTTCTCCTGAGGTGATTTTTCCCATCTATGGCTCGTTCCTAGAGCACCTTGACCTACATCTGTAGGAACCTCAGCTCCCAGGCGTTGGAATGGACTGTGCCTTCCACTGCAATGACCTGATCCTCCACCTCGGAAACGCGGGACCGGAATTTGACAAAGTCATGTTGCCAGGACGTCTATGTTGGTAGTCAGCGTCTCCTTGCAGGCGGTAATCGCTGCCAGGATATCAGCGCTGGATGGAGAAGTCTTGTCCACAGCCGCCGGAGATATCTGGGTGCTGGCTGACATGGTGTGAGGAGACCTCGTGGCCAAGATTACAGGAGGAGAGGCTCGTAGGGTTAAAGACACCGGTTGTAAGTGCCTAAAAGAGGATTAAGAGGTCAGTAGCACTGGTAGAAAATAGACCGGATAGGAGCTCCAGCAGCACCAGACTGGTCATGGTCACATCCCCGTTTTCTCTTCATTGGCTCACTGGCTGTGATTGACAGCAGTGGGAGCCAATGACTGTGTCTCAGCCAATAAGGAGAGAGAGACCCAGGACAGCTGAGGCTCCTATGCACATCGCTGGATCAAGGGGGGCTTAGATGAGTATTAGGGGGACTGTGGGGGGAGCAACACAGAAGGTTTTTTTTACCTTCATGCATACACAGCTATCAAGCTCAAGTAAAAAGGTAAATTTCTCACAGTACTGCTTAACATTTCAAGAAGATACCAAATCTTAACTTTTGAGTTCAGTTCTTGTTTTAAAAGGGAAACCATATTTGTATACAGTATATTATTAGTTGTTGCAGTGTTTTACTTTTGATGGGACACTCAAATTTTTTAATTGTTTCGCTTTCATATTTTGTTACTGTATTTAAAACAGTATTTACCACTTGCCCTCCAGAGGATTTACCACCCTTCCTGACCAGACCATTTTTTGCAAAGCAGCGCTGCGTTACTTTAACTGACAATTGTGCGGTCACGTCCTTTCATTCCCCCCACAAATGGAGCTCTCTTTTGGTGGAATTCGATTGCCTGTGCAGGTTTTATTTTTTGCGCTATAAACAAAATAAGACCGCTAAGTTTGAGAAAAAAAAAACAAAAAACAGTATTTTTGACATTTTGCTATTAAGCATGTCCAGGCCAAAATGTATTCTGCTACATGTCTTTGCTAAAAAAAAAAAAAAAAAAAAAAGCGTGCAAATTAATTGATTTACCTGAAAGTTATACCGTCTACAAATGGTGGTATATATACTGGATTTTTTTTTTTTTTTTATACTAGTAATGGCGGCGAACAGCGACTTATAGCAGGACTACGGTGGGCATTCTGACACTGAAGGGGAACTGACCGTCACTTACATCCCCAGTGACACTAATACAGTGATTAGTGCTAATAAAAAGCATTGACACTGTACTAATGGCACTGGGCAGGAAGGGGTTAACATCTGGGGCAATCAGAGGGCTGTGTGCTGTTTTATTGTGTGCTGTGTGTCTGTTTCAATGTGTAAGCACATTGCTTTTTATTGCTCTGCTATGCAGAGCAATACAAAGCAATGCGCAGGAGTGGACAGGGGAGAGATCTGTATTGTTTACATACAGGTCTCTCCCGTCAGTGATACTCAGCGATCGCCGGTGGGAAATAATGGCTGGGACTCGGTGATTGACAGCTGAGGCCGCCAATGGCCTACCCAGAAGTGCAAAAAAAAATAAAAAATCACACACATACATATATACACACACACATACACATATATACACACATACATACATGATTTTGTGCAGCCCTGCCGCCCTGTATCAATATTGTTGCTATAGGGCGGTGGGAAATAGGTTAAAACGATAAGCTTTATTTATCCATGCAAAACCTTTATCCCAAAAGGAAAGAAAAACATTTGCTTTAAGGCCTGGTTCACACTAGTGCAGGTCGTGTTGCCTGCATTTGCCACGGACATGGCAGCCCATTCATTTGAATGGGCTGCTGTACCCGCGTTTCATGCAAGGAAAATGTGCTTGCACCTTTTCCAAAATGCATCTGCAGGGGAACCATCCAAAAGATCATGCGGTTTCCATGTGATTCCCGCACTCACGATCGCCCTACAGAATGAGATGTGTGGGTCAGAATGAATGACACATCTGCAAATCTCGCAAGAAAAAAGGCCCAGTAGTTAACACTCCCCTCCACCTGTTAATGCTGCTGTCTGCTGTGCTCAATCACCCAGAGTAGGGGCACTCTAATACAGGAGCTGTGCTACTGGCCAGATCACTAACTGAAAACAGAGGGAAAAAAGTAAAAGAAAAAAACAAACAAACAATGTAGCCACCACATTCAAAGATTGGTATGCTGCAATATATTTTGGGGTTTAATACTGCTTTAAATAAAAATGTAGATCAGAGACTACAGCCAGGTTAGGTTATCTGCTACAATTAGGGTCATGTTACAATAGTGATTCTGTCATCAGCAGAAGTGGTGTGTCCTGATGATTAAAGAGTCTGTAAACGCAACATATATTATCCTTGGTATGTGCCTGCTGTAGCATGTACCTGTAAGAAAAGTATCCTGTTCTCTTTGGATTGCTTCCTTTATTTGAAATCCCTGGTGTTCCTGCCAGTCTCTCTGCTTTCCTATTACAAACTGACCACACTAAACTGGAGAACACACTGATCAGTTCTCTAGCTATGCTGGGAACTCAGCCTGCTTTCCTCCAATGATCAGAGGGAATGTGATCACTTATAAAAAAAAAGAGGACAAAGTGTTTAGATTTTTTTTTAATATCTATACACAAATGTTTTGCCTTTAATTACTATTTTAACCCCTTGGTGCTGAGTGTATGCAAATTATCAGCCCCACTAGACTGGGCTTTTTTCTGTGGGGCCTTCAATTTGCGTACCTGTATTTGTTATGAGCGGCGCACTCCCAGCACAAAGACCGGGGTGTCAATGAGAGCCGCCGGGTTGCTATCTAACAATCGAGACCTGGAACTCCCGATTCCAGGTCACACGGTCACTGTAAAAGCCTATGATTGGATATCACAGTGATTAGTCACTGTGGAGCCCCTCCTTGTTTTTTCTCTGAATGCAGAAGAGAGATGCATTTTATCTCTGCGTCCTTTCAGAGAGAAAAAAAGTGTTTGTAAAAATATAAATAAAAAATAATAAAATAAATAAAAAGT